TGGTAGGGTTAATGAACTACTTTCTAGTCGAATTTTCCAACCATGATCTTTAAACCGTAAAGAAGACCGAGGTGGACTGTAATTTGAAGCCATATCCTGATGCTGAACTACAACTTCAATTCCGTATCATTTCAAGATGGACTCGACTTCGCGACAGAAGAGCCATCCGCAACTTAAATAGACAGGGAGTTATTCTTAATTGAAATCAAATTTCAACTCTACTGAACGAAAATTTGTGTCTTTTTTATCTTTGCCCTATTTTTCATTCCACGAAAAAGGACAAAGAGGGACAACTGTAGTCACACATTTTCGTCCGATATCACATAATGTTTCGTGACGTGTTTATAATATATGATACGCTTATGTTATGTGGTATATACGTATTGTACATTTAAAATATCACTTATATTATAATGTGCATACGTTAAATATATGTATAATATAAAGTATCATACATATATATACATTAAATTATTAACAACATTTGTTTTCTTTACATTTACATGCCCCAACAAAACATGTGGCCCAGCAGCCCGTTTGGTAGACCCAAAGCATTGGTCAATCCTAGCTCCATCTTTCATCAAGCGCCTTTTCTGTCAAGGAGTCATTCTCACCCACGTTCGAGTTTCACGGCAGCACGCCTCCACCTCCGAACCGTTCGACGTTCATCAACAACAAACAAAGGAGGAAGTTAAGATTTGTTTAAACTAAAAATAGCCTTTTTCAAGGCTATAAAACCATGTAATTGCCACTGTTTTGTAGGGGAAAGAGATATGAAATACAAGATTTTTTTTACACCCATAGATATGAAATACAAGTTTTTTTTTTTACACCCATACATACGAAATACTCGAGCATAAGACAGTGAATATTACGAGCTTTACACGAGATCCACACACAGATTACACAAAAAAATACGAGCAGAAGATACACGAAAAAGGGAAGAAATCCGAGAGAAAACGAAGAGATTCGGGAGAGCATTCGAACCAAGTCAAGGGGAGATATACGGTTTTGTTTCGAAAGCAACAAGTATCGAGAAAAAATATCCAAACCCATTCGAAAAATTAAAAATGAGAGAGAAAGGATTGTAGACAGAAGTACATTACCTCGGTTCCAAGAGGAAATCTCATTTTCAAGGAAAGCCTTCTCGCTCCCTTTCTCGTGCATTGGATCTCCGCTGAGGAACCCATGTGTAGACGAAGATTTATAGTCAAATAACGGTGATCATTTTCTTCTATGCAATTCTTAGTTTCAAAGCAGAGAAAAAAAGAGTTTCCAAATGGCAGTGTGAGGTGAAAAGAAGATGCAATTTAGGGTTAATAAAATATGTTTAAATGCACTGTGGGTATTACGTTTTGGAATCAAGTAGATTATACTAATATGGTTTTATAAATACATTTAAAATTATGTTTTAAATATGTTTTGGGGTTTTACGCACAAATTGATGCCCACGTGCTTGACACATGTGTAAGGTAAATGTTTTTGGATTTTAAGGGATTAATCTTTGGTGTAATCATTCCATCTTCAATATCATTCAATTTGGTCCTTTTATTTATTTATTTTTATTTTATTTTCTTTTGGTTTTTTAATATTTATCTTCTTAACATTTTTTTTCAATATTTAACCCTATTTATTATTATTTATTTTATTATTTTTATTCCATTTTTTTATTTTATTTTTCCCTCATTTATCTTATTACAATTATATATTTTTCCCTTTTTTCATATATATATTTTTTTACAATCTAACATTTTTTTTAGGTTTACTTTCAATCGATCAAAGGTAAATAATTCAAACCGAATTTTTAAATTTCAATTTAAATTTCTAATTTTCGCAATTAAGACAACCGACAAATTAATTGCTACCGAAAGGCGGTTCAAGGGTGCTAATCCTTCATTGACCGTAATCGACTCCCGAACCTGACACATCACTGTTAAGACGCAGATCAGGTAAGAAAGAAGGTATCCGATCAACTCATTTGTCTTAAAATAAATGATCGGTGGCGACTCTAACCCCATTATTCAAGTCGAAGCCCAACTCCGGGGTCCGACCGAAATACGGTTCCGACACATAAATACATATATACGAGTTGTTTGGACTTTTTTTTTTGTGATTTACCTTAAGCATCTCTTATTCAAATTATAAAGCCACATTTACTTCATTTTCTTTTTTGACTTCAGTTACAAAACACAGTCGTATCTGAATTCTGAAATTGCTTAGCTTTTGATCTGTAATCATAAGAAGCTGCAAAATGATATAGCTTGCTGTGGTTTCTTGTATTTCTGTGATAAATCATCTATAGACTATTACTCTCTTCTATCAACTTTGGTGTATTAGAAGTATGCTTAGAAGTTAAAAAGTAATTACACTCTCTGGCTCGTAATTCATATATGCTCCTTCAAGAGTTAAATTAAATACAGAGCATTCCTTAACGGATTACCGACTGATGTAACAGGAATGGCCCGAAGAAGTTCATCCTCCCTATGCCAACGGACCTGGATACGTTATTTCCAGTGATATCGCCAAGTTTGTTGTTTCACAACATGCTGATCGAAAATTAAGGGTTAGTTATAAATTTATATTATTAAGTGCTGTCTTCCATCTACTGCTTCAGTTTGATAAACCCCATTATTTTTTACCCTCAGCTTTTCAAGATGGAGGATGTAAGTATGGGAATGTGGGTCGAACAATTTAACCTGACCACAATCGTCCAGTACTCCCACAGCTGGAAGTTCTGTCAATATGGATGTTTGGTAGCCTATTATACTGCACATTACCAGTCCCCGAGGCAGATGATTTGTCTTTGGGACAAGCTTTCGAGAGGTAAGACACACTGCTGCAACTTCAGATGACAATGACAATTCTCGTTGTTCGTTAGAACAATTTTACATGCCTCACCTTCCTCTGCCTTGTATTTTCCGCTGCTTTCTACCCATTTTTTGTGCAATTAAGTGAGCTCTAGGGGGTTCAAGTGTAACAAACCTTCTAGTGCAAGATATTGTTCTGTGATAACTTGTGATAAGTAGGTTATTAGCTTGAATTGTATACGTATTGTGAATATTCATGTAATTTTGAACACTTGGTAGCAAAGTCCTTCGCCTTCAAAGTTCTTGCTTGCTAAAACTGTATGTTATCTTCTTTAAAGAATAATAAAATAATATCGTCTTAGCACAGAGATTATGAAAAATAATTCGTCAATAGCTAATTCAACAATTCATAGGATGCCAACATGAAATGTTGAGTTCGACAATTCATTTAATTAAAATCAAGCAAACAAATTATATTGCTCTAAGAATCTTGTCAACAGAGGGGGGAAAAACACTCAAATTTTATCTAAAATGGAGGCTTATGTTGAGTGGACTTAATGCTGAGTGGAGAAATGGAGCACATCCAGCTTCAATATCGGTTCAGCACAAGTCCCTTGAATGTCATTTCATACCAACAACACTCTTGGGATTTTCAACAACTTTATCAACACATTAGTTGACTTGTTTGTCTCTTCTCGGGTTCCAGCAGAACTTCGATGTCTGGCTAATATATCCAACATATGAAGTTATATCTCTAAGTTATGACACTCAGTATTATCAGGATCACGCCTTAAATAAGGGGAATGGAAGACACCAGGCTTCAATTGTATGATGCGCCTGTAAATACATTTTAGTCTTCCTGTGATAGCTGTGAACTTGTTGAAAACGGTGCTGAGATTCGAGAATAAACCCGGGTGATTTCAGGACTATATTTTGCTTGATGACGATCCTTAGTGCCTTGACTCCAAATTTGTTGAGCTTCTCTTTGAAACCTATGCTACCAACTCTTGGTGCAGCGAAAGGAGATGACGCTGATGAAGAGATCGGGGAAGTAAGTTGTGGCGTCATTGGCATTGAGGAGTGCTAAAGCACCTCCAAGGCTATGGCCACAAACTGTCAAGCTTCGCCATTGTCTCGTAAAAATGCGACTAGTCTCCGAAATTACCCGGGTTTATTCTCAACTACTCAACAACTAATTGAACCGACTTCCGCACATCTCCATTGATCGAAGAAAAAAAGCTTGTGATATATATATGTTATGCTTTAAACTGGACATCTTTTTTTTTTCCAGCAAATGCCATTGAACTTTCTGCAACTTTCTGAGTCATGAGCTGCCATTAACATCTCGATGGTCAATTATATAATAAAATATATAACATCGACTTATATAATATCATCCACACGTAAATCCATGCATGAATCAGTTATTAACTACATCTAATTTTGTTCAAATCAGCTAAATTGGATCCCAGTTTTTGTTTAAACGAAGTTGAACAGCTACATTGATAAGATCATCCCAAGTAGCATGAGTGGGAGGAAGATTATCGAGTGAACCCCAAACCCTGTCGGCATCGACCTCCTCCCGGAGAAAATCCAGAATCTGCTGAGCAATGGGTTCAAAACAGGTAAAACTCCATCCACAAAACCAGAACCATATTTCCATCCTTGTCCTCTTAAAAAACCACCTACATGAAGAAAATTTAAGTCTTGAAGACGATTCAGAACTGATGGATTCAACATAAAGCACATTATGAGTGTTGAGAGTATTACATCGTTTCCTGAATATTTTTTTCTTTTGGGTGATTAAAGGTTCTCAATTTGCCTCGTTTGTCAATATAAACACCAAAACGTTTAATTTTCTCTATAGGTACATCACTTGAAGAACTCTTTGTTATCCATCTGAAACTGGGTTTATAGCTTCTTGGTTGAAGGTAAACACGGTGTTTCCGGCAACCAGCCTGGAAAAGGGTATAGTTTGTTTTTTACCGTTTGTTGTGTCGAGGTGTTTCCGGCAACCAGCCTGGAAAAGGGTATCGTTTGTTTTTTACCATTTGCTGTGTCAACGTATTACCGGTACGGAATTGACTTCTTTATTTAGACACCATTGATGTTGTATTAATTTTTTTTCCTGATAATTTGACATTGTTTCATTCTCTTAGATGGCATTCCTTCTGATACAACTTGGAGGAAATAGATGATAATGAAAGAGAAAAGCTCTTAAAAGTGATTGTATAAATCAATTAAACTAAACCCGAAGTTTATAACTTGTCCAATTTCAGTTCCGGCATCAAGCGGACATTGGCAAAGTTCTTTGTTTTCAATTCCAGTGATGAACTAACAGCATTTGACCGAATTGGAAGTCTCGAAACAAATGTTACATAAAAGAAACACTTGTAGATAGTCTCGAATAGCAAGACAAGTTACTCGACTTCGGCCAAATAATCATCAATTTCGGCAGGCATAAGTACCCTGCAAAATAATAATAAAAAATGCACGTTAAAGCCAAAAGGAGCACTTATGGCACTTCTTAAAAGGTTATTTTCCCATCAGCATATTGCAGGCAAAATACTTGGGAAGGAGGAAAGAGTTGAAGCAGGGACTTGCCTGAATTTTTTGCCGATTTCAATGTTTTTCCCTGAGATTTGTCCTTCAAATCTGTAAAATTGAGAAGTGGCAAGTAAGATTAGTAAAAGATGCACAACGCACAAACCACCACGGACCAACATTTTTCCCGAGGTTCTATATATTGCAGATGACCAGGTGGAGGAAATTTAACTCGGCTTACCCCTCTTTGAAAGTCAAGATGGCAGTATGAACAGCATCATCGAGCTCCATATCATCAGTGTATCTACAAAAAAAGACCGATCAATTGAATTTGCAATGTTTCAACAAGGAAATGTAAAGTAAAAGAAAGTCCAGCTCAACTCTGGAAATGAAGCATAGCTATTTGCCATCATAGATACCATCTATATGAAGGTAACAAGAAAAGTTGAGACTACTTGAGTTGGATATACTACAAATCACTTCATATACCAGAATGAATAAAACATATGCGAGGAAACTTCAATCGATTTGGTTTTGAATGCTTTACAAACTAGATTTTATGGTAGGTACCTCTTCTCAAGAAATGTTTTTGCATTTGAGACATTCTTCCCCATTGCTGAGGCTTTCCATGAGAAATATGAACCAGAAGGATCCACCTAGTAAAAAGTTATAGAATCATACAGCTGAAAGCAAATAAAACATTCTATGCGCTGCAGCGCTCCCTCGTACAATCCAATATTAGCAGAAATACCTGATACAATTGTGGACCATTGTCATCACATCCAGCAACCAGTAGAGATACACCGAAAGGCCTTACTCCGCTACAGATGAAAAGATATATGAGTCCAGAGGATTGCAAGTGTTTCAGTTTCCATTTTCTGATCTAAATTCAAGTCGACCCAAAATGTAGTGGTAAGGTATGTGAAAAAGTAACAATCTATAGCATGCAATTTTCTCAAAAAAAAAAAAAAAGAAAGAAAGAGAAGTTCATTCAAATATTCCACTTTCAGCCCCCAGATGAAGCAGAATCTGAAATCCAAAATTAAATTCGAAGAAACTTTATCTCACAGGAAAAACATTTTAAGAAATATATATAAATCAGAATGAAGTCACATTCTTTTTGGCCACCAGCTATCATGAAGAGAAGCACAGCCTGAAACTGAAAATAGACGACAAAGCAACTCTTTGATACAATTCTGACAGTAGAAGTAAAAAGGTATGAATAATAGTTCTTTTTTGGTTTGTATAAGGACATAATTCTTACCCAGACTGAGTGAACTCCTGCATAACAGCTGCAGTTTCCCTTACAAGTTGTGTTACTGGAATTGGTTCCTGGAAACAAAGTTCATGCAAGTAAGAAAATCATGCGAGGTAGAAGAACACATAAATTTTTATGTTGGAATTAGTAAGTAAAGTTATTGAACAAAGTTTATAAAGATAAATGTACAGAAAATATTAACTTTGACCAACGGATCATGGCTGCAATACGACCACAATGTGATTTGATAATAATTTTTCCCAGATGCAAGGCAAAGTAGCTGATTAAGTAAAAACGAACATCATTGAAAAGCCTATCATACCTTATACAACCTATGATATTGTTCAGCTTGCTTCCTACTTTTCCGAACCAAAACTCGAAAATCAGGACCCATACCACTGCAGAACAGTATGAGAATATAAGGGGAAAAACATAAATGTACAAAAAATAAATAAGTTATATTACAGCAAAGAACTGGAATAAAAGTTATACTAGCAACCCATGAATATGATTCTATTTTTACCCGTATCAAAACTAAAGAAATTAACTTTCTAAATGCTTGTAGACATGAAAATCAAACCTGTAAACAACTCCAATATTTGGTGTCAGACACTGTATTTTCTGAACCTGAAATCAGAACACCAAATATTTTAAAAAAATACCACATTTCTTATCACAGGAAGAAAACACAAAGCATCATTAGCTGTCAGATCGTTTTAAGGTAGATTCAATTTGGTTCCGAGATCGCATCACACCATAGTTGAGGCAACATAATAGCCATTCATTTTCATTCTTCAATTAACATACAATGTTACCCTATCATATATTCTAAAACAGTAACAGATTATAACTGCAAAAATGAAGTCTAAAAATCCAAAAGTATGAAAAACAGATACTCACAGAGGTTTCATCAACTAAGATTGAAGGCAATTTCTTCTCTGTAGCGATTACAACTCCATTAGAAGCTGCAGATCAAAACCCACCATCAAATTAAATCCGATGTATTGATATATAAGCATAAAAATATAACTCAGTAGCCACTATTCCACTAATTTTAAAACCCTAAACCGATCACTTAGAAATGGCAAACAGGAAAAAGAGTACCTTTAATTCCAAGAGATGTTTGACCCGAACCCACCGCCGTTAGGGCGTGCTCGATCTGAACTAGCTTCCCCGAAGGACTATTCAAAAACACACAACAAATATGGGTTTATTCAAAATTTAATTTTGAAACAGTTCATGAATGTAGTTATGAAAAGGACGAAGGGATTACCTGAAAGTTGTGAGGGAAAAAGAATATTGGCTGTCACCCACGGCTATGAAAAATCCAAAATCCTGAACAATGAATAAAAAGAAAAAGAGATATTAAAATAAAAAGGGTGATGACAATGAAGATTGTGATGAGAGAAAATGAAAAGAGAATTTCTTTGGGGTGTTTCTGAATTTGAAGAAGGTGTGGGTATTATATATATTTATTTGTTTGAAGTAGGCTATAAAGAAGGTTTCTTGTTGGGGAAGAAGCTTAAGATATAGAGAAATGGGTTCGGATTAAAAATATCTTTTGTTATTATTTGAGATCTTAAAATTTTTGAGTTTATGAGTCTTATTTTATAATTTTAATTTTATTTGAAGAAAATTTAGTTTGAATTGAATCAATCTGAGTTAAGACGTTAATTTTTTAAATTATGAGTCAAGTAAAAATCAATTTTTTAAATATTTATTTGAACAAAAGATTAATTTTTTTGAATTGAATCAAATTTTATTCACGTCTATATTTAATAATTAACTATTATTTTAACTTCAAAAGAAGAATTAGTTCTTATATTTTAATTTGGTGGTTAAATTAAAAGATAATTTTAAAATTTATTGAGTTAAATTTATTTTTTGGATAAATTTGCATTCCATTATTCAAAAGAAAACCGTTAAGACTGTTACAAAATATATTAAGGCACCCGTCCTTAAGTAAGGTCGGTTTTAAATCTTGAGGATTACAAATAAAGTAAATTAGATCAGAAAAAATCATCTTTACATCTGTAATTCTTGATTCAGATTAACATTTATTTTAGACCAAATTCAAGAAATAGTAATTAATCTCTAGTATATTACAGACTCCAATAAAAAAAATTCTTATTTTATGAATCCAAGAAATATGAAGTCATTGTACTTTGATCATATATTTAAAATTGAAAAGGAAAGGAACTGAAATTGACCAAATTTAAATACATGGACTAAATCCATAAATTAAATACAGTAAAGGACTATTAAAGAATACTACCCAAGAAAAACCGCTACAACTCCAAGCACACCTATAAGTACCATGGCAGAGATGCTTGCAGGCGAACAGATGGAGTATTGTTTTCATCTCTTTCAGCCGTTCTCTCCAAAACCATAGCGACGTGTTTGTTTTCAAAATTTCCATTTGAAATTTGAAACATCACCATTGTTACAACCCTTATCGACTCTACCAAGCACTCCTTTTCTCCGTTTAGGTAACTTCCTTTTTTTGTTTTGTTTTTTATTCTGCGAACATATAATGAAAATTTAATTTTCCAAGGGTTAATTATCGATTGAAAACAATAGCATGAACTCGGCGTGGGTTTTGCGTTTTCGGTTTTGAGATTCTGCTAATCTTCGCTTTCCTACTATTATCTCTTGTTATTATTGATTTTATTTTTCCATGATGATTTTCTCATTGTCGAGTTTATTTTTTTGCCGATCGGTGTTCTCTATAAAATAATAATAATTTGATAGGTTTTCTGATTTAGTTATTATTATGGTGCGTGCAGTGGTTTTCCGGCTTATTTTTACTTGAATATTTAGGCTTTAAAATGCATAGATTAAAAATGAAGATTAGTAGGTTTTGATTGTTGAAGTAATTGTGACTTTGCTCTTTTGGTAATGAAAACATTACGGGGAGATTGAAGCCTGTTGTATTGTTTCTCTATTGTGCTGTTAATTCTCATTGGATTTTAGTATGGTGGCTTTGGTAATTAGTAGTATTTGTTTAGCATTATTCTAATTATTCATTCATTTGAGTTTTTGCTAGTAATAATCTGAGAAATTCAACTGTATTGCTTTTTAAGTCTTTGAATTGGTCAATGAGATGATTATAGCTTGCTGGTGATTGGATGAAAATATTGTATTTTAGTTGATCCAGATATTTGCCACTTATATTTGAAAAGACAAGGTGGGGAAAGTGAGGGGAAGGGGTATGTTGTTGGTTGAAGAAGCTTTGTACCTTAAAAGAACTTGGCTACTATATGTTGGTTCAGTTTCATCAACGCAATGATTTTGTTTTTGATTTAGTTTCTTTACCCAGTTAACGTTAGACATATACACCTTCTTTTGGTTGCTGTTATTGTCGTTATTATCATTGAATGGCAGCCCATCCTTGTGAGCAAAATGGGTGATGCAAAGAAGACTGGTTTTCCTGGAAGTTGTCCCTAGTTTGGTGCAATTTTCATGTCAAACAACGCTACAAGAGAGGAATGTTTAAGAAGGAACATTTTTGCCCTCCCATCTTCGCAGTCACATTTTGTGAAACAGGTTAAAGATGGGATGATCCTATTCCTGTTTGAATTTGAGACGAGAGAACTGCATGGTGTTTTTCAAGCATGCTCTGATGGTGCAATGAATATTCTGCCTGGTGGATTCAGTTTGTTAGGGAAGCAATTCCCTGCACAGGTATGGGTACATTTATTTCAATTGATTTTTATGTTCTTTTATCCCTCAAAGAAGGATGGGGAAGGATACATTCGTGGAGATGTTAATCCTTCCTTATTGATTTTTGTCCAGGTCAAATTCACCCTTAAGTGGTACTGCCATCCACTTTCTGAAAATGAATTTCGTGATACTATCAGAGAAAACTATTTTTCCAAAACTAAGTTTAACTTTGGACTCTCTGAAGATCAGGTTTGCCCTTTTGCTATCAAAATCCAATTTGATAAATTGAAATACCACCTTTAAAAAATGTTATAATATCTCTTTATTTAAAATGTGCAGGTTCGAAGGCTTCTATCATTGTTCAGTTTGAAGAGGATGGAAAATAAGGCACCTCCACGGTGGTTGACTGAAAGTAAAGTTGCAAGGAAAAGTTGGTACTCTACAAGTGAAAATAGAAGACTAGTTGATAAGTCTACAATGAGAAACCATGGAAAACTAGTTGACAATAGAAATCAAGTACCAAGTGAATATGGTGTTGACAACCATCACGAACCAGATATTTCCACTATTCACCGAGGGGACTGTTTCTATAATGATGGCAGATCAACTGATGATGGCAGATTTGGAACATGCACTGATGTTGGGTATGAGCATAAAGCTAGTGCCTTCTTAAATAAGTGTTTTCAGGATCTTATGTGTAATGTTGGTGGGGACATAGTTTCCGGTGATAGGGTGGACACTGAATGGAAAACTGGAATTGACCTTCAACAAGCAGTTTCAGTTGGGTATTCTTCAGGTAATTTCAGAAGCATTTCCAATGATGTTAGCTTTGCAGAGAGTGATAGAATTGAAACAAAATGTTACAAGGGTGATGGTTTTGCACCAACCATCTCAACAGCACATTCTAGTTCTTTTCAATCTAAAGTTAATCCACTGGTGTATTCTAGCAAACATGTTCTAGAAACAGATTCATTTGTGAATGATCCAACTAGGCCATCTTCAATGTTCCTTTCCTCAATGGAGATGCAAAACTCCAATATTAGTCATCCGATAAATTTTGAAGATCAAAGTGTTGCAAATAGTATTCCTTATGATCCCAATGTCCCTACTATGAATTATAGGGGCTCCTCATCTTTGGGGTTTAATCAGGGTTGTGCTTCATTGCAAGATGCTAGTCGTGATAGTTTTGTTGGTCATGCCATTGGTACTTCCAAAAATCAATCATTTCCTCCATTGTTAGAGACTAGAAGGACTCCCATAACCTCTGATGTCAATTCTGGTTCTAGGGACTTTGTTACATTGCCTTATTCTAATTCATATGAACACTCCAGCAGGACTATCCTGCAAAGGGCTGACTATTTAGATGACCTAGCAGCTGAATACTCTAAAATAGAATGTTGTGGAGATCTTTCCCTTCCAAATCCCTCTTTATCAACTGTTCATCCTGAAATTAGAAATAATGGCAGGATTGGTGAGCATTCATCACCTTATAGAACCAGAACTAGCAAGTTCCCTTCTCTTAGATGTTCTGACAGGCATCCTATGCTATTACAAGATAGACATGATTTTCAACTGCAAGAGAGGGATAGGTATCCTACATTATTACAAGACAGACTTGATTTTCAAGTGCAAGAGAGTGACAGGTATCTTACGTCATTACAAGACATACGATTTCCAACAGCAAGAGAGTGACATGTATCCTACATTATTACAAGACAGACATGATTTTCAAGTGCAAGAGAGTGAAAACGAAGCACAATTTGGTTATGATGGTTTTATGTTTAAAGAGTGCCAGCCCCATAGTGAATCTTTTATTGATAACAGCACAATTGAGGATGGAAGATTGGCTATATACAGTAAGGCAGAATATGAGAATGAAGAGGGTCAGCAGCAGCTGCATGTTCATGAATCGATAAATGGTGACTACCATGAAGTTACTTCATTGGGACCTGCTCCATATCAGAATTCTGATTGTTGGAAGAAAAGTAGTAGTGTGTTTTCTCGCTTGGCTTTGCCTCCTAAGATATGTAAAAAAGAAAGTGACACATGTCCTATCACTGCTGACAATGATAGGCATACTTCAATTGATGAAGTCATGGGCATGCTGCACTAAAGGCGTAAGCATTGGGTGAAGACAAGGATTTTTGTGAATAACAAAAGCATATGGGTAGAAATCATGACTGGGTAGGATCTACTAAAGCATGATTGAGTAGCTAACATGTAGGGTAGGTTTTATCGATAAATTGATTTATGTTTAGTCAATTCATTTATGATTACTGACCGATTTTCTTTCTTTTTGTTTACTTTATCCTCATCTTGCATTGCACTATTCATTTCATTGGTGTTGATCCATGACTGATGTCCATATAGAAGACTATTATTATGGAACGATTGATTCAAAAAGTAGAGAACAATGCATACGTCTTGATATGGTCCGAGCAGTCTCAACTAACAAATGGAGACAGTTTATCACCAGGGTATATATCAGAGCTGAGAGGGTATACTCATATCAACGTTTGTCAGAATAATCTGAACGAACTGAAAGAGATTTGGGGAAGATGGGAAGCGTCCGATAAGCAATTGTTCTATCAACTCCATGGTGACATTTCATATCTCCTTGATATCCCGATTGATCGGAATTTGTTTAAAGCTCTAGCTCAGTTTTGGAATCCCGCTTATAGCTGTTTTACATTTGGTCGAGTAGACATGACACCTACTATAGAGGAGTATCGTGCCTTGATTCGCTGTCCGAGGTTCCAAGTAGACAAAGTATACACCAAACCCCCAAATACTCCTTCATTTAAGAAGAAACTTATTCTGATGATTGGCATGAGTGAAAAATGGGTTATGAGAGGCATAAAAAAGAAAGGAGACAGCGAATGCGTTACTTAGACCCTTATGAGAGATTTGATTGACTGTCATCCTGATCGAAGAAAAAAGATTGACTTCTTTGCTCTAGGTATCTATGGATTGGTTATTTTCCCGAGAGTTCTCGGGCATATTGATGTATCAGTGGTAGACCTGTTCGAAAGATTGGATAGACATGTGGATCCTGTTCCAGCTATTCTGGCAGAAACATTTCGTTCCCTGAGCTCTTGCCGAAGAGAAGGGGAAGGACGATTCATAGGTTGTGCACCATTGTTGTTAACCTGGATCCTTAGTCATTTCAAACACGTCGAGAGAGCACCTGGTCGGGTCTTCTTAAATGGTTTTTCACCGTTGAAGGATTTCATTTCTCGGCAGTGACCTGGGGGTTTTACTGAGGAAAAGTGGATGATCATTTTCAAAAGTATCCGAGACAGTGACATATTATGGCGTACCTCATGGAATGTCTCATCTGACATATTGTATCGATGTGGAGATAGAGATTGAGTTCTATTGCCTGGTATTTGGGGATCTGTAGGGTATGCCCCATTACTGGTTTCCCGACAATTTGGGTCGAGAAAGTTTATTCCGGCAACAAGGGAGTTATCTAAGTCTGAGTTCGCATTCAGGGGAGAACTGTATAAGAATAAAGTTAAAGGGGTCACTGATACTTGGAGACACAACTATCGGGTAAATCTCTTTACTTTTGAGTCAAGGCTATCTCGAGGATACGAGGAGTGGAGAAGCAACCGAGTTAATGATAATATTCCAATAGGCAATCAAGAGAATATCCAATCTATGGAAGAACACCTCAGGGTGATCCCGTCTCCGCTCGAGCAAGCCAGGCTTGATTTTGAGGTAGAAAGGAAACAATGGAGAGTAACTTTGCAAAAGCTAAAAGATGAAGTGTATCAGAAAGGGCTGGAGATTGACATCCAAAAGAGTCGGGCTGATCGGATTGAAAAAGTGGAGAAGCAACTTAGATTGGATTTCAATGACCTCTATTTATCACACCAGCGAATGATCAAAGATCAGGCATCTGCTAGCTCTAGTAAGTCTTCTGCTGAATGGAGGCAAGAAGTGGCAGGACTGAAAAGAGAAGTTGGGGAAAGCAGTGAAGAACTCAAACGGAGTAGACATCATGCCAAATTACTCTTGAGAGACAAAAATACCCTTGAAGTCGAGAAAGTAGTTCACATGCTGAAGTGGAAAGATTGATGAAGCGTGCGAATGAACTCGAGGCCTTAGTTCAAGATTTGCAAAGAAGAGCAAATGAACTTCCATTGGTCCCTTATGAAGGAGTTATGCAATGGCGCTATCGTTGGGAGCAGGCTCAGCGGAGAGTTAAGCAAAGGGAGGATCTCATTGAAAGATACCTACAACAAGCTCAAGGAGTGGCTCAGCACTTGGTTGATCTGTCACAGGAAGCTGATAATGTGATTGAAGAACTGGATCCAGAGGCAGAAGAAAACCAGAAGATAGTGGAATTACTGGGACATATCCAACAATTAGGAGAGATAGCTCTATTGTATCTGTGATCTGTTTAATCCTTGTAATTGAGCTTCGTTTCCTATATAAAAAGTTGTTCTAAGGAATCGTCCCAGAATCAATACCTTGTATTGCATTCATCTTGCACTACATTGCATTTTCTTTTATGAATAACATTCTAATCACATTTTTCACACCTCATTAATAAAACACCATGATTAATAAAAAATATTGTGGCAGAATATTGGACACTTATAAGGATCCATACAACACGCGAAAAAAGGCAATGGATGATAGAATTGTCAATATAGAGAAGGTTCAAGCTGAAATGCAAGAGAATTTAAAGAAAGCGCAAGAGGAAATGCGCAAACAGATAATGAAGGCTCTAGACGACATGATGGCAAAGTTGGTTAGTTTGCTACAGGGAAATAGTGTTGTCCAAGGAGAGGCTCCAGTTATCGGTCCTACTGCTGAGGAACTTTTATATCCCCCTGGCTTCACACCACCGTATATCCACACACAACAAGCCACGACCATCTAACCGAAAAAAATACAAGTAAACCTACCTGGTTCTTCCACGAACCCACAATCAATTGAAGATGTCCCTGATTTGGATGAGGAAGACAAAAAAGAACATGATAAGGAGATTAAGAAAGAATGGGAACAAATGAAGCATGAATTCCGAGCTATGAAAGAAGATGCTAACCTATATGGAATTGACGCCAAAGAGCTAAGTCTGGTCCTCGATTTAGTGTTGCCACCGAAGTTCAAAGTTCCAGACTTCGAGAAATTTGATGGCACCAGTTGTCATTCTGCACACATTACCATGTTTTACAGAAAAATGGCAGGCTATGTGGGAAACGATCAGCTATTAATTCATTGTTTTCAAGAAAGTTTGGCAGGATCAGCAATCCGTTGGTACAATCAGCTAAGTCGGGCTCAAATTAAATCTTGGAAGGATTTGGCTAATGCATTTCTGGAGCAATATAAGTATGTAAAAGATGTGAGGCCGAACCGAATTTTGTTATAGAGTATGGAAAAAAGATCTTACGAGAGCTTCAGGCAATATGCCCAAAGGTAGAGAGATGTGGCTGTGCAAGTTCATCCACCATTAGAGGAGGAAGAAACCAATATGTTTTTTATAAATATTCTGAGGGCCCCGTTCTTTGGACATCTCATTGGAAATTCATCTAACAATTTTGCTGACATAGTTAATGCAGGAGAAATGATCGAGATGGCGATCAAAAGTGGGAAGCTAGACGGGGGAGAATATAGCCGAAAGCCTCCAGTGAGAAGAAAAGATAATGAGTTAAGTAATGTGAAGAAATATGATTATAATAACATTATAGTATCTCGACCACCGGCCACTGTGTCGTCATCATCAAATCCTGTCCAACAAGGAGTGAAAGAACCAAGACAGGAAAGGGAAAGGGTTCAATTTGACCCTATCCTCATGACCTATAAAGAATTATTCCAGATCCTGTATGACAAACATGTGGTGTCACCTTACCACACTTCTCCAATACAACCTCCTTACCCAAAATGGTTTGACATCAATGCTCAATGTGAGTATCATGCGGGGGCATTCAATTGAAAACTGCCTGGCCTTCAAAAAGTTGGTGCATATATTAAAACAAAGAAATGTTATCAACTTCGGTGATAGTGAGCAGCCTAATGTGGCTCAGAACCCACTACCGAACCATGCAGGAACATGGGTTAATGTTGTTATTGAAGAAATAGGGAATAAAGTCATAACCAAAGTCAATGAAGTGAAGTCACCCATGCATTGGGTATGGGGGCAAATGGTCAAAGTAGGCTGGTTGACCTTTAATGCTAACGAGAATAAGTATGCTTGCCTCTATCACCGTTGCAATGATCATGCCATTCAAAACTATGACGAATTCAAGGCCTTGGTTCAAAGGTTGATGGATAGTAATGACATGGAATTTTACCATGAGGTTACGAAAGAGAAAGAGATTGAGATTTGCGCTTCTGAAGACACATCCAAGGGAGTTTACAATACTAACTACCCTTTAGTCATCACACCAAAAGCTCGGACTATAGAAAGGTTAATCCCAAAAGTGATGATCACGCCTCCGTCGTCTTTTCCTTATAAAGATAACAAGCAGGTCCCTTGGAGGTATGGATGCCAAATAGAGAATGTTGAGAGTTTAGAAGATGCTAAGAAAGAGGTGGATGAGGTAGGCCACTTCACCAGAAGTGGAAGATGTTATTCTCCTAACCAAATCAGTGAACCTAAGAAAATAGTGGCCCCTGATAAAGGAAAAAAGGGTCGAGATAATGATGAAAGATGATGAGTCAACAATCAATGAGCCAGTAACAGAGAACGAGGCTGTAGAGTTTTTAAAGTTTTTGAAGCATAGTGAGTACAGCATCGTCGAGCAACTACACAAGTTGCCAGCTCGTATCTCGATCCTGTCTCTACTATTAAGCTCTGAGGCACATCGAAATGCATTGTTGAAAGTTTTGAATCAGACTTTCGTACCGAAAGATGTGCCAGTGGAAAAGATAGATCGACTGGTTGCAAATATTCAGGCGGATAATTTCATCTCTTTCTCTGATGATGAGATCCCATCCGGAATGATGGGCAATCCTAAAGCCCTGCACATTACCATCAGGTGCAAGGGACATGTGTTATCGCGAGTACTAATCGACAATGGCTCTGCCCTGAATGTGATGCCATTAGTGACATTGAAAAAACTGCCGGTTGATAGTACATACATGAGAAATTGCCAAAGCATCGTTCGAGCTTTTGACGGAACAAAGAAGGAGTGCTGGGGAAGATCGATATTCCTTTAACCATTGGCCCATCAACCTATGAGGTTGAATTCCTTGTAATGGATATAATGCCTTCCTATAACTGCTTGTTAGGAAGGCCTTGGATCCATCAGGCAGGAGTTGTGCCATCCACTTTGCATTAGAAACTCAAATTTGTAATTGAGAGGAGACTGGTATGCCTTAATGATGAGGAATATATCATTGCTTCCATATCTACTACCGCTCCATATGTCGAAATAGATGAAGATGCGGTCGAGTGCTCTTTCAGAGCCTTTGAATTCATTAATGCCACTTTTGTTGCTGAAAGAAAGAAAATTCCGAAGCCTAGGCTATCCAATTGTACCAAAATGGAACTGTAAATGACTATGGGAAGAGGAGCCAAGGTTGGAAGAGGGCTAGGAAGCCGCCTACAAGGAAATATTAGTCCAGTTTTTCCTGGTATTAAGCGAGACCGTTTTGGTCTGGGATATCACCCGACCTTAAAGGAAAAGTTGAAAAATGTTCAAAAGAGCCAGGAAAGGAGGAAAGCCAGGTTAGTCGGGGAGGATATTAAGTGGGAGCCTATGATTTTCCCGTCGCTGCGCGACACCTTCATATCTGGGGGCCATATGTTTCAGGGGGGTTCGAATCCTTGGATTTTCCAGAAAAATATTAAAGCAATAAAACGCACCTATTCGAAAGGTATATTACGTATTTATTTATTTTAGTATTATTTGTTTATATTCGAAGTAAAATCGAATATGAAATTAAAAAAGTGAGATTTATACGTAAAATAGCAAGAAAACCGAGAATATAAAAGAGAAGGAAATTTACCATAGTCGGGAAAATCGTCACGGTCGTCGGAGTGTATGAGAAGTCGAACGTTCGTGTACCTTTGAGGTTTGTTTTAGAGGTTTTTAGGGTCGTTTTTGTCTAAGATAACTACCTAAGGGTTAGATCTATAAAAAATGTTGGTTTTTGGGAATTTTAGGAATTCCGGCCACCATGGGTGGGGGTCGGAGCGGTGGTCGGACGGGATTCGATGGTGACTCGTGATGGCCGGCCAGTGACTCGTGGTGGCCAGCCGAGCCGTGTTGGGAGAGTTTCTCCCTAACACTCTCTCTCTCTTTTTTTGTGAAGTCTTGATGAAAATGAAAAAAAACTAAATGAATGGTATTTATAGATGAAGTTTAAGGGTTAATTACATCATAAATCCCTATAATTTATGCGTGTTTTACATGTAACTTAAGGGACTGTTTCTGTAATTTTTGTTTTTAGGCTGATTATAATTTTTTAGAAATATTTTATTTATAGCCCTCTGTATTTTGATATATTTATATTTTGAGCACCAAAATATGTTTTCAGTTCTTTTAGTTCGGCCATAGAGTTTTAATTAATTTAAATTTAGCCTTATGTTTTATTTATTTTCATTATTTGCAATTTTAGCCTTTAATATTGAAATTGTTTATTTTTAATCACTTGTTTATTTGGTTTTATTTTAACTTTGGTATGAAATTTGATTATTTGTGATTTAGTCGTATTTTTAAGTTTATTTATAATTTTTTGCATGTTGCTTTCATTTTAGTCTTAATTAATTTCGTATGATAGCCTCATGTACATAACTTGACATAATTATATAAATTGATTAAGGGTAATATTCGAGCATTTTAATATTGTCGTAAAGTGACTGTCTTAACGTATAAGAAAGTTATTTTCGATAATTTTAAAATGAAAGTCTATCCTATAAATGACACCAATCAAAACATACTCATTTTTTAAAATTTGAGGACTGAGGAAAAGATCGTATTCTTTTAATTAAATTCATCGAGAAAAGACAGTTAGATCGAATCTATGGTCTCGTCTCTTGATATTTAATTAATTGAATATCCTTATTCTCATTAAATATTGGTAAATAAATAATTAATCAATTGCTTGATAGTTGTTTTTTTTTA